TTAAATCCTACTATTCATAAATTCGCGAGGAGCTGGATGAGAAGAAACTCTCATGTCCAGTTCTGGAGTAGCGATGAAATAAAAAAGCTATCAATCATCAACTATAACCCAAAAAAAACTCGATTCCGTAGACAACATAGAGGACGAATGAAAGGGCTCGCTTCTCGAGGTAATCATATTTCTTTCGGTAAATATGGACTTCAAGCACTTGAACCCGCTTGGATCACATCTAGACAAATTGAAGCAGGTCGACGGGCAATGACACGCAATGCGCGTCGAGGAGGTAAAATCTGGGTACGTATATTTCCTGATAAACCTGTTACTATACGCCCAGCAGAAACACGTATGGGTTCGGGAAAGGGATCCCCAGAATTTTGGGTATCTGTTGTTAAACCCGGGCGAATACTTTATGAAATGGATGGTGTAACAAAAAATGTTGCCAAAAGAGCCTTTGGTATAGCAGCATCAAAAATGCCTATACGAACTCAATTCATTTTTTCGGAAATAAAATAAAATCGAAACGGCGGACTTAAACAGATTTCTTCGTAGATTTTTGGACAAAAAATATTTCTTTTTTCTTTGCACATTGCGGTGATAAAAACGGAGTAAGAAATGATATGATTCAATCTCAAACCCAGTTAAATGTAGCAGATAATAGCGGGGCTCGAAAAATAATGTGTATTCGAATAATCGGATCTAGCAATCGGCGATATGCTCATATTGGTGACATTATTGTTGCTGTTATAAAAGACGCTGTGCCTAATATGACTCTTGAAAAATCGGAAGTCGTCAGAGCCGTAATTGTGCGGACCCGTAAAGAACTCAAACGTGACAACGGAATTATACTACGATATGATGATAATGCCGCAGTTATTATTGATAAAGAGGGAAATCCAAAAGGAACCAGAATTTTTGGTGCAATCCCACGAGAATTGAGAAAATTAAATTTTAATAAAATTGTTTCCTTAGCTCCCGAAGTATTATAAAAAGCTTTTTAATCTAGTCTACGAACTTTAAAAAATCTAGGTATCGCCTGAACATTGGGTAAAATCTGTCTAACGTATATAACTTTACCACACGCAAAATTCATCAAAAAATAAAGAGAAAAGCATGTTTATATTATATAAAATTTTTGAGCCTACTAATTCATATTCATCATGGGTAGAGACACTATTGCTGAGGTATTAACGGTTATACGAAATGCTAATATGGATGGAAAAAAAATGGTTAAAATTCCGTCCAGTAATATTACTGAAAATATTATAAAACTACTTTTACGAGAAGGTTTTCTTGAAAACGTGCGAAAACACTATGAAAACGGAAACTATTTTTTGGTCTTAACTTTGCGCCATCAAAAGACTAAAAAAGGGCCTGTTACGAATATTTTAAATTTAAAACAGATAAGCCGACCCGGTCGACGAATCTATTCTATGTCCAAAAAAATCCCTAGGATTTTGGGTGGAATAGGAATTGTAATTCTTTCTACCTCACATGGCATACTTACAGACCGAGAGGCCCGACTAGAAGGAATCGGGGGAGAGATTTTGTGTTATATATGGTAGATGCTTTGTTCGTTTTTTCAGCTAATTGTTAATTTATTGAAAAAAGAAATTGCTTTAAAAAAAAAAAAAAAATAAAATATAAATATATTCGGTATTTATTTAATGAATTAGATCTTTTTTTTATCTTTTATGCTTTGCTATAAACTAAAATAATTTCTAGAAAATAAAGAGATTTTATTCGGATGAAATAAACTTGAATTTTAAGGAGTTCAAACGATGAAAAAAAGAGCCTCTGTTCGGAAAATCTGTGATAAATGTCGACTAATCCGGCGAGGAGGACGAATTTTAGTAATTTGCTCTAACCCGAGACATAAACAAGGACAGGGATAAGACATCAAAACAACCAAACCAATCCAACAATTAAAAATTTAAAAATAGAGATATCCGCACCGACTCAGATTTAGAAAATAAAAAAAAAAAAAGCTAAACTATGGTAAAATTAATCCCGAGACTTAGTTCGCGTCGGAATGGACGTATTCGTTTACGTAAAAATACACGTAAAATCTCACAAGGAGTAATTCATATTCAGGCCAGTTTACAGAATACTATAGTCACTGTTACAGATGTACGAGGGCGCGTAGTTTCGTGGGCTTCTGCAGGTAGTGCCGGATTCAAAGGAACTACAAGACGGACGCCGTTTGCTGCGCAAACGGCAGCAACAAATGCTATCCGTACAGCAATAAACCATGGTATGCGTGAAGCAGACGTGTTAATAAAAGGCCCTGGGCTTGGAAGAGACGCAGCATTACGAGCGATTCGTCGAAGTGGTATACGATTAGAGTTGATACTGGATGTCACTCCTATGCCACACAATGGCTGTAGACCTCCGAAAAAACGACGTGTATAGAGAGAAAAAAATCATTTATTACTCAAAACTCAATAAATCCTAGGATGTGATAAAAAATCCCAGTTTCTATTGCTGGGATACTCAAATGGAAATGAAAACAGCTAGTAAATGCTTTTCCTATGGGCAACTTAATGAAAGG